TTAATTAAGATTAAATATGTTTCGATTCTTAAAATGATTGTGACTTATTGTACATAAAATAACATAAAATAACATATAACAATTAAAATAATTTAATAATGTTAGAAATATAAGATTCTTGTATTTAAAATAACTGTGCATAATTATTATAAGAAATTAACAGAAAAATAAATGTAAAGTAATGATTCATTACTTTTTCAATAATTATAACAAACCTACTTTTTCAGAATCTGAAAATTGTAATTAATTAGTAATGAAATAAAAAGACTATAACTAATTACTTTTTTAAAATAATTTTCCCAAACCTGACTTTAAATATGTATAATCGAAAAATAATTTTTAATATACATTGTTATTAAATAAATATATGAAAAGAATATAAATATATGAGAAATATAAATATATGAAAAAATATAGAAATAATACCTAAATCCATTTGTCTATCTGGATCTTTTCGTAATAGTAGATATATTATTGTTATTGCTAAAAATAATATTCCAAAACCAACTATGATTCCACTGGTTAATATGATAATTTTTTCTTCATCCTTGTATGGGCTGCTCAATGCGTGGCATTCTAGTTCGCGATAAGATAATAAAACAAATCTTCATTAATTTATTACAACATATTGCGTATCAAAAAGAGAAAAAAATCTCAAAAATATATTATAAATATAAAATTAAAAATTAATATATAATAAATAATATAGTAAATATTTTAATATAATAAATATTTAAATATTTTTATTATAAGTATTATATAGAATAGTTTTTAAATTTACTCTGCTTTGTTGAATTTTATGTCGAAAAGTTTGAGATTAAATCCTAAAAAATAATTCTAATGCATTATGTACATATTTAAATTTAATTATAGTACGAAAAATATATTCAAATATGAAAAAGCAAATAGGAGAGAGAAGATGGTAGTGTAATATCATTTTGTTTTCTTAAAATAACTCATTAGATAATAATGTGATTTATATGGATTATGTAATTTATATGGATAGAAGTTTGTTAGGCATACAGTTCTATCAATCATTCTATAGATAGAAATTCGTTCGGTATATAGAACGAACATAATTTACAATTTACTGAAGAGGGAGGAAAAAGGGTGCGTTTGTGAGATAGAAAGGAGATCGTGGCATACTAACTAATGCCATAAAGACACTTTTATTTATAAAAAAATCAAATTAATTATCCTTTGTAGATCTTACACACTAATAAGTGCCACAAAACAAACAGGTTTTATGAACATTTTATAAAATGTATTTCTACTTGAAAAAAAATTGATTTTTTCAACGAATTTTTTTGGCTTGAAAAATAATTTTAAAAATAATTTCTTTTCTGTACTAGTAAATATTATGCAATGTGAGAGAAATGATGGAATTTCTTGAGATTCGCGACACTCGCGACGTTCACAATGCAAATGCTCCATGACTCTCTTCCGTACATAATATATATAAAACCGTACATATAAACTTTATATGTCAAATTCGTATCCATATTATATCACATTATATCACACATTAAATTCAATTACATTATTTGAAAGTCACATTCAAGGCCTTTAAGCTAGATTACATTAAAAATATAAAATATTAAATCTCTAACATACTTCTTAAAATACAGCATAAGTTTATCTCAAGTTGTCCAACATACTGGTCCTTCGATCCAAATAAAATTCCGAATCTTCTTGATTTTTTCGTGGTCAAAATTAATGAAAACTAGACAAAAGTTAAAAGTTGCGACGAACTGTCATCAGACCATTCCCTAGTGATTCTAACAATTAAGGCAGCTTTTCTTAAACAGCTCGCTCTAACTAGTAGAAGAACTGGCTGGGACTTATTCCGAGAAAAATTCGAGCAGATAATCAAACTTACGATTCTGCTCAAAATCAATGAACATTTGAATAATGTTGCTGAGTCAGTCAATTGATGAGCAATCAATTGTAGCTATCCAGGCATGATGCCTGGGTTGTTACATCTTCGGTGTTTTGAAAGAGACATAAGTGAATTAAACTATCCAATTGAAGTTAGGAAGTAAGGGAAAAACGAAAGAGATGGCATGAAACCCGAGATCCGGATGACAAGACTATCGCTAATCGATTTGATCAACAACTCAAACGTCTTCTACAAAGAATCCAGAACGATGGCTTTGAATCCTATCTGAAAAATTTATCTTGTTTTTAAGGAATCTGAATATTTCCTCTGAAAGGCCACTAAAAGATTGAAAAAGTTCAAATTACACAATCCTCCTTACAAAAAAGCTTATAATAGGTTTCTGTTATCTCTTGCTGGGCAAGAGATAATAGAAACAAAGCGGAAGCCTTTGCTCACTTAGAAAATCACTTAGAAAAAACATTACAGCCTGACATAGGCTCTGAGGATTATATCGGAAAATGCTATACATAGAAACAAATAAAGATGCTAGTCTTTGAAAGTCTAATTAAAGCTAATTTCGCCGAAAGAAATTAAGCACATGATTAAAAAGTGCATGAATTCAAAAAAGACACCAGGGTATGAACTAATTACGACGCAAATTCTAAAGGCGTTACTTCATAAGGCTATTAATCTAGTTACATAATTATTATTAATTTTTATAACGGTTATAACGATTGAAACATTTCCTGCAATCCTGGAAAGCAGCGTAAATCACAATGATTCCTAAATCTGATTAATCTGAAAACGAGATAGCATCTTATCGACCAATATCGCTATTTCCGATAATCTCCAAGCTATTCGAAAAACTATTACTAAATCGATTTATTCCAATAATTGAAAAAAAAACTCATATCTCAGCATCTCAGTTTGGTTTCCGTAATTGTCATTCCACGATTGATCAAATGCACCGAGTAGCTAACGTTATATAATAGAAAAGGCTTTCGAAGAGGGAAAATATTGTCCTGCTGTGTTTCTCGATGTAGTACAGGCAACAAGGTATGACATGAAGAGCTATTTTATAAGTTGAATCAAATGCTGTTAAAGACTACTACCTGCTGACAAAATCATATCTTACAAGTAGATATTTTAGAATTAAATGTGAAGATGAAATCTCTCCAGTTTCAGACCTATACTCGTCTGCGTTCCACAAGGTAGTGTTTTGAGCCTTATGCTCTACTTGTTATTCACTTGTCCCGAAGAGGAAATCTACGCTGGTCACGTTCGCTCACGACATGGCAATTCTTTCTGTGAATAACTGCCTGACTAAAGCAATTGAAAAGCTACAATTAATGCCAGATGACACCTCGGAGTGGAGCAAAAAAATGAAGGATTAGAATTAATGAGTTCAAATTTGTCCATGTAATATATACTCTAAGAAAATCCCAATATTAATCGGAAATAATTGATCAACGTGTCATCATCCCTCAACTATTTAATAAAGTATTTGGGAATGACTCTGGATGTGCGCCTCATCTGGAAATCATGTTCGCAACAAGTGTGCCGAAATAAAGTTTAAATTAAGGAAGATATATTGAACGTAACTCTCAACTAGTTGTGGATAAATTATTGCTTTATGATCAAATATTAAAATTGATTTGGATTTATAGTGCAGCTTTTCAGGAGTGTGCGAAAGAAGTCAACAGAAAGAAGATTCAAACTGTTCAGAATCAAATACTGCGAATCATAGTTAACGTTCCCTGATATGTCAGGAACGACGTTATTCATGCTGACCTTGGTATATCCAAGTTAGCATGTTAACAAAATAATCCAGTAAATCGCGAAGAAACACGAGAATCAATTACATTTTCATCCTAACGGACCATCTAAGGAAACTCTTCAGCTTCTTGATAATAATAATATAAGAGCGTCTTAAGAGTCTTAAGAGAGTAAAATTTCACGATCTATTAAATTAAATGATTAACTCATCTATGCGCTAATCGCAAGTAAAACCTCTCATTTGGAAAAATTTCTCGCAAACGATTTCACATTTACATGTTCTCGCTGATTGTAGCAACTATTATAAAGAAAACTTGTCAAAATTTACGTTATGAATATAAAAGTTCTATCTATAAAAATCTCTGCTACGTGCAAAACTGAAACTTTTATAAAAACTGAATACTAATAACCAGTAACTGTTCTATAATGTCTAAATAGGCTGTAATAAAGTAATTTTGATTGCACCTAGACTTCAATGAAAATTATACAAAATGGTATTTCACCGTCCCACATCGATCGATCGCCCTCTCTCTTCTATAAATTTATTACCTTTTTAATGGATTTACATCATTATATAATTAGAAAAGATTTTTAAATTTCAATTTTTTATTTCTTGGATATAGAAATGTAATAAATTTGTATAATCTCTGTGTTTGTATAATTTTTATAATCTTAAGTAAAATTTAGTATATAAATTTGTACAAATTTGAAATAAATTTTATACGAACCTTTAGTCATTAAACAGCCAATTTGCTTTTCATCCTTTGTGCCGTTGACGAACATTTCAAAGCACAAAGTTTCATTATTTATATATTTTTTAGTACATTCAGGACATACTGGGTTATTTATAAATACATACTCGATCGTAGTGTTACATTCCTTAATAATTGTCAATCTATAAAAGATAAATAATTCACAAGCAATTTATTTCAGATATTACTGTCAAAATCCTTTTTTGATAATAAATATAGAATTATCTTGATATTGAGATGTTTATTTTTTTCTACTTGTTTATCTATTAATTATCTATTAATATCTATTAATAATATTATTATATTATAAAGTTTAACTTTTTGGCATATGGAGTGAAATTGATCCAAGCAAAAAATTTACACAGGATCAGTATATTTTCAAGATAATTTTGAATTTTTAATATTGAGATTTCTGCATAAATAATAATCTTTGGAAATTGCTGACTATATCTGTAATAATTAGTCTTTTTATTTATTTTTATCTTTAATACAGTATATAATTACTGAGTTTGTGAAACTTTAGTGTGCCAAAAAATAGAGAATAATTATATCTTAAGTGGAGAAAAAGTAAAATAGGCAAGAGACAGATACGAAGTAGATACAGACAGATAGAAAAAAGATAAATAATGTTAAATATGTAAGAAATGTGTTTAAAAATTAAAACTATATTAAAAATATTTACAAATAAAATTATAAGATTAAAGCAAATATACATTTTAATAACTGCTTGTATATTAGAAACTATAATATTGTATTGTAAATTTGTCTAATGTACAGACAAATTTATTTATTGATGTTGATATCTGTTGAAAAACTACTAGAAAATTACTTACAGACTCAGTGTGCCAAGATAAACAATAAAAAATTATCTTAATGAAGAAATAACCAATTAATTTATTAATATTGTTATATTATTTAATTTATATTATCTGTTTTGTCAAAAAAATATGAATTTAAAAGATATTATATAGATATTTGTATACCCACGGTTCGGTACGATTTCCTTCGTCATTCAATATTGAGACGCAGAAGATTGGTCGATCGCATCGCAGTCCGGTCCATCCGTAATGGCACTCACAAATTCTATGCTCATCGATGCATTCGCCGTGAGTATCGCAGCCATGCGGGCACGCGAGCACGCAGATACCTTCGAACTTCACGAAGCCTTTACGACATCTACACTCGCCCGGAGCCACACAGTCACCATTGTCGCAACTCTCACAACGTGGCACGCATTTGCTTCCGTTTTTCGTTCCATTTTCAGGCACGATCGATTTCTCTACTTCCGAATTGAAGTCTTCCTCCTGTAGACTGTATCCGTCATCGCATTCACAGACCTCAGGTGCGACGCATGTGCCGTTGACACAGATCGAGCAGAAAGGCTCGCATCCGCCAGTTTCAGCCCTTTGATAGTCGTCAAAACATGTGCAAACATCCGGCGCCGTGCACACGCCATTGCCGCATTCGACGCTACAAATTGGCTCGCATTTGAACGGGACGCTTCCTTCTTCATAAAAAACCATGCGATAACCGTCCTCACAGACACAGAGATCGGGGGCCTTGCAAATCCCATTTGTTTCGCAAGCCGGATGACAAATAGGATCGCATGTATTTGCTTCGAGACTTGTCGATAAACGGTAGCCCGGATTACAATCGCATTTGTTAGGCTGTACGCAGATACCGTTCTTGCAACTTGGATTACAAATGGGTTCGCAGAGACTCGTATGATTGCCTTCCGTAGGTTGATAACCGGAGTTACAGGTGCATTCGTTTGGCGCAGTGCAATGTCCATTGATGCAATCAGTCTCGCAGATGGGCTCGCATATGTTCGAGGAATTGAAAGGACCATAACCTTCGTTGCATGTGCAAGTTTCAGGTTCACTGCAGAAGCCATTGACACAATTCTGATTACAGATGGGTACGCAGACACTGGTGTCGTTGCCCCCTGATGGCTGATAACCAATATTGCAACTGCACATCCCCGGAGCGTTACAGTATCCATTGATGCATTTTGTTTCGCAGACCGGTTTGCAAACCCAGTCATTCCAGGTATAATGTGTACTCTGAAAATCAATAATTTTCATATAGATATTAAAAATTAATGGATTAATTTGTTTGAAGTAAACTTTAAACAATAGAAATACTATTTTCAGCTTTAATTAAACAAAATAATAGGTTTGTTTAAGTATTTAAATACTCGGCGCAGATCTTTAAAAATAATCTCGTTTGGATCAAAATAATTATGCAGGACATTTCAGTTGGTTACTAAATTATGAAAAGCTTTTGCAGGATCGTCATTAAGCGTTCTAAATAATTATTTTGATAGTTTAACAAAATTATTTTTATACCTGGCCAAATTTTTAAATATTCCAGGAAAATTGTACTTCCTGTATATATTCGTATAGATTTGACACAGTTATTTAAAATGACTAATAATAAAAATTAGTAAACAAAGGTAATTACGAAAATCAATAATAAGTTCTATTAAGTTATAAATTTCGTTAGATTGTAAGCATTCTATGCTACTATTGACAACATTTGATATTCTATATTGCGGAAAGATGCCTACAATATGTATTTCATTGAAATATTTTAAAAATATTACGATATCTTTATGATATATCCCCCGTGATCTATTTTGGACATTTTTTCTGTGTGAGATAATTTTGCAAGTATGATACTAACATTGGTGATAATTTGCGTTTTATTAGGATGAAATCCTTTGAAACAATTGCAGACATCCGGTGCGATACACACGCCGGATGGTCCGCAGGATATTTCGCAATGAGGCTTGCAAATATGTTTCTCTGTCTCGTTGTCGCTTAATCGGAATCCTTCGTTGCACGTGCAGACCCCAGGCGCAGTGCATTTTCCATTGAGGCAAGCCTTTTCGCAGATTGGTTCACAGATATACTTTGAGTTCTCCAGTAGTCCGTACCCCGTGTTGCAGCTGCAAGTTTCGGGAGCTGTGCAAGTGCCCCTAACGCAAGCTTGGCTACAGATTGGTTGGCAAATGTTTGGAGGCTTCAATGAGTAGCCTTCGTTGCAAGTGCACACGTTGGGAGCAGTACACTTGCCGTGTGAGGAACAACCGGGATTGCATATTGGACTGCAGATAAATGCGCTGTTTCCTTCAAGTTTGTAACCGTCATCACAAGTACAAGGTGCAACAGGATCTGTGCACTTGCCATGAACACACTCTTCTTTGCAAACAGGCTCGCACGTCTAAATGAGGATATGAATCTTTATGATACTCTCTTTTTATATAGTGAATTATCTGTAATATCAATTCTAAACGATTTATTGCAATAATTACATTAGTTTACAGCTCAAAGTTATTTTGAACCAGAATGCTGAAGACGATGCTGCAAGCCAAAGGATCCCGCACATTTCTTGTGAATTTTGATTCTCGGTCAAATCTCATATTTTGAAAAATTGTAGTTCCAGGTATCCATTAAAAATGTCAATGGACGCGACCTCCTAAATTAACATTTTTTATGATATAACTAGTCAAATTTTTATTATTTCGGACGTTGGATAGTATAAACAATCTCTGTTTTTCGGTTCCACATGATCCTACAGACTTGAAAAAAATACCTTGATGAACCTCATACTGATAAAAATAAAACTGCCATAATAGTGTTCCACTTCGCGACTTCCATTGTTGCTAAAAATAAATAATGAATAAAGTCTTTATCATATGGATAAAGTCAATTTTCATACATGTTCCCGCCTTTGGCATTATCAACGTTGAACTACGGATGTGGTGATATCACAACCCTTTGAGATACTTCTTTTGCGTGAGTCCTCTTGCCTCACTTGTTATTATCTTCTTCATTTCGGAATTCTTCGTATATAGCATACGTCGTATATAGCATATATATCATGTCAATGATATATGATGACAACTTCATCACTGGATATTTCTGTACTTGACAATCTGGAGCCAGAACCCTTGGTATCTGTGCGCACGAACTTTTTATGGTATTTGGGATATACACATCATAGGCCAAATATTGAATATCCAGTTGACATTCTTTTGAATACAACAATGGATGTAAAACAAAGGAATAACTGAACAATTTAAAACTTTCAAGTTGATCTGTTAATAACTGACTTAATATTTCATCCGTGAGGGGCAAGAGGATTCACGTTAAAAAAGCATCACAAAGGGTTGTGATATCGTTACGTCGTTCAATCTGGATAATGCTAAAAGCGGAAACATGCATGCACATTGACTTTATCCATATGATATTATTTATTGTTTATTTTCAGCAACAATTGAAGTCGCGAAGTGGAACGCTATGGCAATTTTTTATCAGCATGTTACGAGGTTCATCTAAGTATTTTTTTTCAAGTCTGTAGGATTATGTAAAACCGAAAAACAGCGATTGTTTATAGCGCCCAATATCCGCAATAATGAAAATTAGCCAAGTTTGATCAGTTATACCTCGAAAAATGTTAATTCAAGAGATCGCGCCCATTGACACTCTTAATCAGGATACCTGGATCAAATTTCTCAAAATATAAAAAGACTTGACCGAGAACCATAAAATCCATAAGAAATATGCAGGTTTCTTTCATCAGTCAGTTTTTAAAATATTTGAGGTTTAAAACGTCTTTTTTTTTGCAATATTAAATTTTTTTTATAAGAAAGATTTTCTTGAATTAAAATGAAACATCGTAGATATTTTTTTTTTCCATGCCGATAAAATCATATATATTTATAATTTGCAGTTTGTGGTTATCAATACATATACACAAGATAATTTATCATGAAAAATTAAGCAAAAATTTAGTGTGTGTGTGTGTGTGTGTGTGTGTGTGTGTGTGTGTGTGTGTGTGTGTGTGTGTGTGTGTGTGTGTGTAAAACAAATACAAATTATAAATATATATGATTTTATCGACAAAGGAAAAAAATTTGTTATTTTCACAAAACTCTGTATTGAAATCCTTCATAACATAGTTAAAAAACAAGATATTAAAATAAAAAAGAACATTTTATAGAGGATGAACAATGATCTTGACTTCTGATCAGAATTTTAAGATAACATCTTTATTAATCTTTTTCACAAGGAAATTTTAAACATCGCAAAAAGCCATTTTTTTGTACATTAAATTCAATTATTTTGAAAACCTGACGCGATGATAAAATTTAGTTTGAAGCAGCAGAAAAAGTCTATAAGAAACATTTTATTTGATTCAAAATAATTAAATAAAATATCGTCGTTTTAGCAGCAAAAATGTATAAAAAACATTTTGTCTGATTCAAAGTAATTAAACAAAGTATCTTTTTGTAAATTAGCGTTGTTTTCATCATATAGTTAAGACTTGTTGTAAATAATTTTCAATTTCTATTTTATATTCACATCGATATTATATTACTTATTAGTTAAGTAAAATTTAAGTTAAATAAATAAATGAAACAAAGTGTTCACGTTGTGTGTTTACTTACCATAAATTTGTTGTCATTATCGATGATCATTTTCCATCCTGTTTTACAAAGACACCGATCAGGTGTATAACAATATGCTCCTGTAGGACACGGCGGAGTGCAGACAGCTTCGCAATGGTGGGACTGATTGTTCCATCGGTATCCAAAATTGCACTCACAAATGTCCGGTGCAACGCATTTACCATGTACACAAGATTGATAGCATTGAGGAACGCAGCCGTTGTAACTATATACTCGTGATGTATTGTATCCATAATTGCATAAACATACATTTGGGCTAATGCAATCACCCTTTTCTCCGCAATCAGGTATGCAAGTTGGTTTACATAGTACAGGATATTTTAAACCTAATCGCTCATATCCATCGCAACAATCTTCTTCTTCGCGCCATGATCTGTGATACTGAATACAGAAACGAGATTTTATTAGAGATATTGTAAAATTTATTTATATATAATAATATATATATAATTTATTTATATATGTAAAAGGATATAGCTATACTATAAAATACTATCCTTATAGGATGTTGTAATAAATTAACTTGATCAGTAAAAATAATACTGCTTGTCGAAAAAAGTATTTTTTCTATTAAAGCTTAATTAAAATTTTACAATTTTTAATTAAATGTTATAGAAGAATTGTAAAAAGATGTTATTAAAAATAATGAATTAAAATTTTAATATTAATTACAATTAAAACTGCATATATACTGTTTATATATCGTATATTTTACTTGTCCTTTTTTCAATTATTTCTTCAAAAATATCTTTATATACATATATTAATATAATTATTTTATTTTTGTTAAAAACATATTTTTCATAGAAAAAAATTTTGATTTTATTACATTATTGCAAATCAGAATAAAAAGTCTATAATTCAACTTTACCTCAATTCTAAAATTCCATCGAGTTTGAGTTTTATAAAAAATACCCCATGTTTTTTGTTTGTATGTCTCTAAATATGGAACTCTAGTGGATTCTAAAACACTGTAAACACCGCATAATTTTTAATAATATTATCTTGTATTTAAATGCTTTATTGTCATTGAAAGTTTTGTTAAGTTATTTATTTCGATTTATACATAAAAAAGAATAGTTTTTACTAAAAGAATTTAAAAATTTAATC